AGAACGGTGACGCCAGCGGCGACGATGCCGGCTCCGATCGTGCCGCATTGGCTCTGTCTCATCGGCTTTCGAAATCGAAGAGGAGTCATCAGACGTTTCCTCGGAGTTCGAGCTCAACGGCTCGCTCCCTTGATCCTCTGCTTCCGCCTCATCAGCTCAGTAACGAGGTGGTACCATCTCCGTCTTAATTTTGTGTTTCCTGTTTGAATTAAAGTAAATGCTAATTATTTCATAGCCTTAATTGCTAATTTTGAAGATGATCATCCATTTTTACGTTCTCATCTGTTAAAACGAATTGATCAATCGAGTATTCATTTCCAATCTAGTAGAAGAGTTATCTCATATATATCTGTATTCTCCCCTATTCAGCAGGATGTAAATATTGATGATTTGGAGACCAACCATTTTGTTCTCGTTCATGGTGGAGGTTTTGGGGCTTGGTGCTGGTATAAAACCATTTCACTTCTACAAGAAGCTGGGTTTAGAGCTACAGCACTAGACTTAACTGGTTCAGGAATTCATTCTTTTGACACAAATTGCGTAACCAGTATGTCGCAGTATGTCAAGCCACTTACTGATTTTCTCCAACAACTAGCTGATGGAGAGAAGGTTATTTTTTATCACTAATTTATAATCCTCTTCTCAAGTTTTCACAATTCTTCCTTCTCATCTATTCTTTGATGTTGCAAATTTAGTAAGTGGCAGTTGAAGGATTAAGAAACCTTGATGGCATGGTTATATGGCTTTGTTTTGATCTGATTTAGTTGTATATAGTGGAACATTAAAAATCCTTTTCCTTGTGTATAGATTTCATCCTCAGTTCCTCACAATATCATCAATAGCCTGACATATGGACTTTTACCATATTTTGAATGGCCAGTGTTTCAGCATTTAATGGCTGAGGATTTATCAATGATGTTCACTCCCATGTATCATGGGGCCTATAGTGAAGATAAAAGAGATACCCTAAAGCCAAAATCATATATGTTACAGTCTGGTTATACTATTGTGACTCATCCTTTTCTATATGCTTTCTTCTTGAACACAGGTGATTCTGGTTGGACATGATTTTGGTGGTGCTTGTATATCATATGCAATGGAGCTTTTCTCTTCTAAAGTCTCGAGAGCGGTTTTCATTGCTGCTGCTATGTTGAGCAGTGGACAGAGTACCCTTGATATGTTCTCCCAAAATGTATGTTTTTTTTTTGCTTAATTATTATAGGAAGCATGTTCTTTTCTGAAATCTGAGTAAATGCATGCTGTCATCTGGAAGTGCAGTCAGTTCATTTCTTCTTTCGTTGCTTCATTGAGTTGTGTGTATATTTGTCTGATGTCTTTGCCTTGGAAGGGATCTTTGTTATAATCTGAGCCACTTTTATATTCACCATTGCAGACAAATTCTAATGATCTAATAAGGCAGGCTCAAATATTCATTTATGCTAATTGCAATAATAATTCACCAACTGCCATCAACTTGGACAAATCACTCTTGAAGGACTTGCTATTTAACCAAAGTCCTGCTAAGGTATGTTCTCTTGTTTTAGCTGCTTTTTGTACGTCTTCTTGATGCCTTAGCCACTTTCAGAAGCATGATATGGACATATGGTTGCAGTGTTGGACTTAATTCCCAATCCCAAAAAGAAAAACAAAAAATCTATTATGCTTATAAGTTTGCGAGTATGCAAAGGGTAAACCCCACCCAGGTTGCCCATAGCAAACCAAGAAGGCAATCATGCCACTCTCGCTAGGAGTTGAACTTGAAGTCAATAGTCTAACCAATTTGGTTGGGGGTAAAAAGGGTTCTGGCATCCTATAGTGTTGGAATTTTGGCAGAAAATGGTATTACCTTTTATGTGTAATTTGGCATGTTTAGATCTTGTTCTACAAGAATGTGAAGGTGTTGTTGATGGGAATTGTAAGAGATTCAGGCAATTGATTGTTCATACAAATTCCTTCACCAGCTACATCTACCTGATATTAAATGTTCATTTCTTGAGTTGGTAATTCCTCCTTGCTTCCCTGTGCCTGCAGGATATTGCTTTGGCATCTGTGTCAATGCGACCAATTCCCTTTTCCCCAATACTGGAGAAGCTTACCCTATCAGATGACAAGTACGGCTTAATCAAACGCTTCTATGTTGAAACTCCAGAGGATAATGCTATCCCCATTGCTTTACAGCAAAGCATGATTGACCAAAATCCTCCACAAAAAGTTTATCATCTCAAAGGTGCAGACCACTCGCCATTCTTCTCCAAGCCTCAATCCCTCCACAAAATATTGGTAGAAATCTCAAGAATCCCTTCAAAAACATCATGACAGAGGAAAAGGTACATTTGATTTTCCATTTCCACCGGCCTAAAGCTCCCAGAAAATACCCTTCAACCGATACCATACAATCAAATTGATATATTGCCAACTTGCTAAAGTGGGAATTTTTATTTTTTTTTTCTAAATTATCTTTTAGTGGGAGTGGCTGGCCAATCGTGCAATACTATGTGGGCCAACAAAAGTTTGCTAATTTCATTTTGAGCATGAGATTAGTAAAGTAGGATAGCAACCATGCTTTATTGGTACAAAGATTGCAATGTTGTAACCCCTCATAATGTGCCTTTTGCAATGATTAAACTCTTTGACACTTAATTGAGAAGTAATTACGGCTTATCAAGTTCATTGTAATGGTTGCTACTTGCTTTTGCTAAAAAATATTTAAAAGTTGATTGCAAATTTGCAACTGATTTTTAAATACTGCATTGATATTTAGATTCAACTCGAGTCACGTTTGCCAGAGGCGGACCCACAGTGGGGGCAGTGGGGTCAGCTGCCCCCACTCACCCCACCCCCACCTCTTATATAACCTTTGTATGTATATGTGTATATATAATAGAAGTTTTAGTATAAGTATTAAAAAATAGAGAAATGATAACAGAATGTGACTTAGCCTAGTTGGCAGAGCGCATGGTTGGCTTAAAGGTAGGCTAGGGTTTGAATCTGTGGCTGGACGTCTGGTTTGTTTTCAATTTTTTTGACATTTTCACCATTAACACTATCTTTTCACATTATTTCACATTTTCAATATTATTAATAGTGCATATTGCTTCAACACAATAATATAATCTTCATTGATATTAATAATGAGATGAGATGTGTAATTTATAATGGATCTTTTATTCAAATTATTTTATCAAATTGATTATATTCATATTTTGTTATGAATATTTTTATAATGTTTTGATGTGTTTTATAATTTTCCTATATCCAACATTATTTATGGTTATACTTTTTAAGTGTTTCATTTTTTTTTTCTAATTATCAATTTTCCTTTAATATTTTGCCCCCGCTGAAAAAAATTCCTGGGTCCGCCACTGACGTTTGAAACTCTTTTTTGATAAAAAATGTAGTTTAGAGACCTTAACACTTGTAATCTTGTATGAGTTGGTTTATGTATTACCCTCTAATTTTTATTTGGGAAAATGACACTTTTTACCCCTGAGTTATATACTTATAGCACTTTTCTCCCCTCAATTATTTAGGTAAGCACATTAGTCCCCTCAATTATTCTAAAAGTGGTGATTTTCCCCCCTGATATATTAAATTGACATTTCTACCCTTAAAGTAAACATTTTATTTATTTTACTTCTCCAACAAATTATTACGTATACGTAGGGATGACCACGGTTCGGTTTGAACTGAACCGGACACTAAAGCAATCGAATTAAAAGTTTCCAGTTATGATTCAGATCTAGAACCCAATATTTAGATTTCAATTTATTAAAATTATGTATCAAAAAAATTAGCACTTGAACCATGAACCGGCGGTTCCGGATCCGGTTCGCGATTTTGAACCGTCTTTATTTTAAAATAATCTAAATTCAACAATAAATGTATTTTATTTTTTCAGTTCGGAACATGAACCGTCCGTTCCGGTTCACGATTTTAATAAACTCTAAATATCGGGTTTCGATTCTAAATTGTAATTGAAATATTTCGGTTTGGTTGCTATAGTGTTTGTTTGGTTTGAACCAAATTATGGTCATAATTTGTTGGAGAAAAAAAATAAATGAAATATTTATTTTAAGGGTAAATATGTCCATTTAACATTTCAGGGGGAAAAACAACCACTTCAATAATTCAGGGAAAAAAAATGCTATAAGTATATAACTCAGGAGGAAAAAGTGTCATTTTCTATTTTTATTTTTAAAAAAATTGTACTACGTAGTATTTATTTAATATTCTTTTTAGAAAAAATGAAAATTTAAATTGGCGTAAATTATAAGCTGATTCTTCTCAAACAGGCTCCAAATGCCGAAGCCTCTTGTGAGCCTCACGTTTACGTATTCCAGCTAGACAAAAAGCAAATCCAAAGATGTCGGCTGCCTTTGCATTGTATATCACAGTAGACTACAGTATTCTTTACTTGCCCCGATACAATATAATAATTCGAAAATTACACATAACAATACATGCCATCCGCTTGGTTCTTCTATGGAAAACATGTACTCCATATAACATTTTTGTTTTCAAAAATATATAAAGACATCTCTCAAGAGTACTATCAATTCTATTACAATGTAATATCTATTAAATATTTTTTTCAATCATGTGATATTTCATCATGAAAAGTCACAAAAGTGTCAATTGAGCAAAAAGTGTGAAAGTGTTAACATCTCACACATACATTAATTTTTTTTTGAATGCACATCCCTACATTAAATTAGTCAAAGAAGAAATTTTGCTCTCACGGACTTAACACACTGGTTCAATAGACAATATGAAAATTTATGCCTAATGTAAACAGATCCCTTGTAGGCGCTGCCTGGATAATAACAAATATTAAGTATATAATAACATTTGAAAATTTAGTGTTGTAATGTGTAATATCCACGCATTGGATGAGTTGGCATCCCTAATGTCACGCGAAAATTGGCCCTAAGGCTGCGTTTGGATATGGAAATGAAAGGGAAGGCGGTAACAGCAAAATATGGCTTCATTACATTACATGTGTTTCGAAACGGTGAAACTGTGATCTCTGCTCCTTTATAACTCCCCTCACTCTCCACTCTCCACCAAAATAATCAGACTTTGGGACTTCTTACCATACCAACGAAAGGTACCCATTCGAAATCTCATGGCGCCGCTATAATCATCTTCAGTTTCAACACTTTCTCTAACTTCTCATCTTAGCGAATTTAATTTTGTTGTTGTTGTTGTTGTTACCTGCTGTTTTCCGTTTCGTTTTTGCGCATTAATGTTAGGTTTTCGTTTGTTATGTTGAGGATCTTGTATAGATTTAGATCAGTGCTGCCATAACTGTTAATCGGCCTGAGCTTTAGTTCAAATTTGAGATTTTAGCTGTTTTCCGCTGCCGATCGTGGAGTGTTTTCGATCCGCTTTATTCTGTAGTAAAAAATTTAGATCTTCTCACTGCGCCGAAACTTAATTAGATCTGGTTTCCATGGGTTGAGACAGGATGGATTGTTTATGGAATTGGAAATGGTGGATGAGTAGTGATGCTACTTGTTTGAAGGGTATTTAAGATATAGGTAGACTGTTCATTGAGTGAGAAATGAAATAATTTTAGTTAATCATTACTGTTTGTTAATCATAAGAGGGCCTGGACCAGATTGATTCTTCACTGTTGTACTTGTTAATCATTTTCATTGGATCATAGTGATCATACACCCAATTGTTTTGAGATGTTTGGTTTTGAGGTTGGTGGCCAAGAGTGCATGGCTTATAGTGAGGGTGTTGTTGAGGTGGGAGGTGCAAGGTTAGGATATGGAAATTACACTTGTGATACATACTTAACTTGCCTGCTTGATTCTTCAGTTTGTTGTTTTGCTTGAATTACCTAGATTTGATGATCGTATTTTTAAATAAATTTGCAGTACTCAGGTTCGTGTTGATAATTCGAGAGTAGAGGATGGGTCGTGGAGTTAGTGCTGGTGGTGGGCAGAGTTCTTTGGGCTACCTGTTTGGAGGTGGAGAGGCACCTAGCAATCCACCAGCTGTTCAGAACCCGGAAAAGGTTCCCAATAATGCACCTGCTCCAAAGCCCGTTGCTGCACCCCCTGCGGATAACACTAAGCAAGCTCCTGCAGGAATCCTCAGCAGCAACGCAAACAACTATGTTCGTGCAGATGGTCAGAACTGTGGCAACTTTCTTACGGTACGAGACTGATGATATAATATGAAAACAACCTATTAGGCTACTACTCTCCCTTAGGATCAAGTTTGATGAATTTTAGTATATTTACAGTTCCATTGTGGGGTTTGACACGTAATCACACTTGTTTTCCTAATGCAATCTAGGGATGTACAAACCAGTCTTAAGTCTGAACTGAACCAATCAATCTGTCTTTTGGGCTAGAAACCAAAAACTGTTTGGGTTTTGGATGAAATTCACTAATCTAATCCAAGTGGAAATGAACTTAATAGAAAACCTAAAGATTGAAACCAAATGGACAGGTATGGCTCTTGGTTTGGATTGTTTCGATCCAACTGTTAGATATCAGCCTAGAAAATGCTTTCATATAAATTGTTCGTATTGAACATCTTTCTTCCGTGCAAGATGTATAATTGATCTTCCCTATGATTTCAGGAAAGGCGCTCGACCAAGGTTCAAGCTGCACCTGGCGGTGGCTCTTCACTAGGTTATCTATTTGGTGGTGGAAGCAATTGATGCCCTCAAGCTGCGCTGCAGCTTTCCAGAATATAAATGTCCTAAATATCTGAACTTAAGAGTAAATTTGATATTGTTCATTTGGAGTTGTATTTGATACATTTTGTCATTGCCTAAAAACTGTGAGAAGATTAGAAATGCTATCCAAAATGTATTTGATACATTGTCATTGATGGAACATGTTCCTTCTTGGCATTCTATGCAAATCTGCTTGGAATCTTTTGCAATTGTCCAATTTTTCTTGTCTAAGTAAAAAGGAGACCTTAAAATTTTCTCAAAGTTTGAATTAACAGTGTATATATATATATATATATATATATACATATATATATATATATATATATATATATATATCAGGATGAAAGAAATGTTATATACAACCAACAAGGGACATCCCCTGGCATGGATAATGTGGATACTTATTTTGGTGTTTTGAGTTGGATCAAGAGAACTACCACACTAGTGCCAGACCAACACAATCAAAAGACAAAATGAGAAAATAATGTTGTCTGATGGCCTGGTGGGGACTACAAAACCAAAATGTGGAGCCTTTTTTTTTTTTATCATTTAGGGTGTGTTTGGTTCGCACATGGAAATCAGAATGGGTATCAAATATTTGGTAATAGTAATGAGTTTTGGTGAAAGTATTTTGTATGTTTGGTAGTAGGGTGGAATGAGAATTATTAGGCTAAGGATGAATAATGGGATGAAATCCTTATAAAATAAGGGAATGAATTTTTTCATTAATGGGGTATTCCAAACCTATAATAGTGTAAAAATCAGTCAATCAAACAATAACAATCACTTTCATACTCATACCTGAGTGCTAAACCTGCCAGCCAAACACAACCTTAGGTCTTTTTTGTAACATAGTTAACTTATTAGTCAAATTTGACTTTATTTAACCACACTATTAGTTGTTTAATTCGATTAAACATTTAATATAAGTGTTTGATTAATTAATTCTTTGTAATAACTTTGTTTCAAAATATTAGAATTCAAAAAATTGTTTAAAAGTAGTTTTTTGATAAGATTTCTAAAAAAGTCATTTTATATGTAATCAGCCAACAATTGATTTATCAAACATCTTTCTACAATCATGCTATCAACTAATCAAACTCACTAATCCAATCAGCTTACAACTATTTACCAAACACATCCTTAATGATTAAGCAACTCTGTAATGGCACTTAGGGCATCCCCAATAGGGGTTCTTTCCCTAATTTTGGAACAATAAAATCTGCATGTTTAATTTTGTAACAAATGGGAAGCAAAGAAACACACCACATTTTTCTCCTGCAAAAAAAAATAAATTTGTCAGACTTTTAAAAAAAAAGAAAAAGAAAATAGAAGGGTGAGACGCGCAGGTGCGTCTCACCCTTCAGCCTGGCTGGCGCGTGTGTTACACGCGCCAGCCAAGGCGTTTCAGAGTGGCCGCCAACTGGCGGCCACTCTAAAATTAATTGATATAAATTGGTTTTTGGATTGGGGCCGTTGCCAATTATTTATTTATTTTTTTTAAAATTTTTATTGTTATGATTTTTATATATTAATTATTATATGATTTTTGCTATAAACATGATTTTTACATATGATTTTTGTAATTAATAATTATGATTTTATTTGCTATAAATAACACATTTTTCACAATTTTTAACACTTTTTATTTGCAATTTTTACGTATGCTAATTTACATATTATTTTTACGTATCATTTATGTTTATCTCTAAAATTATAAATTTATAAATGAAATAAATAAAGAAATAATTAAAATATGGAGATAAAATGGTGGGTCCACAAAAAGTTGTGAAAAACTTATAACTAATGGGAAGAAGAGATTTTGTGATTGAGTGAGATAGTGGATGATGAGTTGGATGTTGGGGCCCACAAAAATTATGAGTAAAATCCCCAACTATTGAGGATGCCCTTATAAACTAATCATATGTGAGGATCCCTGCTACAGTGCTACAACCTTCCTGTTTGTGTCAACAACATTCCATTGTAGATTGTTCAAACCTAAAATGAAATCCACAAATACACTCAAGACTACTTGCTATGCAAACCTTAAAATGGAACCCACAAACATGCTCACAGACCTCACAAACACTCCAAGTTTCAAGACACTTAAAGAGTCCCAAAACAAAGGAAAAGAAACAATTTAGAGAAGACAACCTAGATAGAGTCGATAGTGCTCAAAAAAAAAAAAAAATTACAGGAATTGACTTATTGACCACAAGGTTCCAAATTCAACTCTCTGTAAGAGCTGGTTTGAACTTTTACCCAAAGCACACCTTAAGTAACGGCAAAACTTTTCCGTAAATCAAAGAACAACAATGTACCTGTCATTTTGCTCGAAACAAATGGGGGATGGTCCAAGAATTAAGTCATTTTACCCAAAATCCAAAATCCAAAAAATATAAGGGAGAAAAGAAATGGAACTGGCAAAATCCCTATTGTTGGTGAATGCACACTAATAATTGGAATGTAAACCCCCTTCCAGTCCATACAAAAATGCCAGTACCAAAACACCCTTTCAAGATAACCAAAAATCTCTTGTTCAAGAGCACACCAGTCAAAATACATACCCAGTTCTTTCTGCTAACATGGTTCAAATCATAACAGCCAACTTAACTCTTGCATTATGTTGTTATAGTGTTATCCACCCTGGTCTATGCACACACACAAACTATCTTCTACCACTCATATCCTCAGGAATAGTACAAGTGCCACAATGCTAATTCTAATAAGCCACATCCATTGCTTCTTGGTGTATAACTGCTACTAAAGAACCTCCAAATGACACCTTTACTTCTCACAATACTGATTGCATCAAAAGGCAAAATCCAATGGCAGATGCATACATTGAAATCCAGTAACCCACAAATTAATCATTCCTACCTCACAGCAAAGTGCTGGGAGCATAAATAATAAAACCCCTCACAAAATCACATACTGCAGAATACCACTATCAATCACCCAACACCAACACAATAGCAGACAGAAATTCAGGAAATTGGAATGAAAGGAACAGCCACAAAATTTGCAACAAATTAATGAAACCAAAAATGGATTACTGAATACCAATTAAGAAGCAAACATCATATTGAATCTCAAGTCTTACAGGTTAATAATCACTGTAATGGCAATAGTAATGACTCAAAACTAAAAACCAAGTTCCGAAACTCAACAAAAATGACAGGGAAATGAACAAGCTTTCTAAGGCTTTGGCATCGAGTAAGTGGACAGTATCCTCAAAACCCGAGCTTGGTACGGCGCCAATGGCGACGCTTGGCGTTGTAGCGGATCGTATTGTCGGTGCGCATACGGATCCAGTAGGGGATTGGCCTGTTCTGCCTCTGCTTCTTCGCCAGCTTCTTCTTTATCATGAATGTCTTGTGCGACGGCTGCAAATTTCAAAGCGCCCAATCTAAGTATGCATCACAATCATCGCAACATAAACTAAATTCAAGAATTTAAGAGAGAAAGATTCACAGACCATTTTCGCTTCTGCTTGAAAACTCTGCGATTAGGGCTCTGAGAAGTGGCGGAAACACAAACCCTAGTCGCGATGATTATATATATAGGCGTATGACTTTTTTCTCACAAATGTACGTTATTTTACTATAATACCCTTCTAGTTTTTTTGTTTTTTTTTTTTGAGAAATTGTTCAAATAGACCCTTAAACTTTCTTCAGAAGGGCAATTAAGTCCTTGAACTTTATAAAAATGCAATTACACACTCAAACTTGTCATTTTGAGGCATATAACCTTAATAGCCGGTTATTCACCTAGAATAACCAGTCATTCAAGATTCCGGCAACACTCCAACAAGTACAAAAATTTAAAAAAAAAACCAGATGCTGACCGAAGAAGACAACCAGATCTGGTCGCCTTCTCCAATGGAGAAGACGAGAAGGCGACCATTACTGGTCGACTACTCCATTGGAGTTGGTGACCTCTGGGAGAAGACAACTGGAGAAATAGTCTCCGGGAATTTATTTATTTATTTATTTTGAACGGCGGTGAACGGTAATTAGCGACGGTCAACGTCAATAATTTACCGGTAATCTGTTGGTTACCGATAAATTGGACTTATTTGACTCATTTTCACAAGTTTGAGTGTGTAATTGCACTTTTGTAAAGTTCAAGGGGCTAATTGCCCTTTTGAAGAAAGTCCAAGGGTCTATTTGACCATTTTCTCTCTTTTTTTTCTTCTTCTTTTTTTTTTTTTTTAGATTGTTACTTCACTCTCAAATTCTACTATCAAGTTGCTCCCTCTTTAGGAGAGATTATGGATTCGTGTCTCAGTGGAGGCGATATTGGCTCTTTGTGCTTCATTTGGTTAATAAAGTAATTGTGAGCAGATACTACATTGTAATAGTCATAGTATTAAAAAAAAATTAAAAAATTTATACTATCAACTTTTACTCTCACACTCATACTTTTGATGTAAATACTTATGGTACGACCCACATAATGAAAATGTTTAATCATAACCCACCATGTAAGGGAGTAGAAATTTAGAGAATGTATATTAAAACTTTTTTTTTTCTTTTTTAATGCAAGACTAATCTTAAGTTCCCAAAGAGTTGGTAAATTGTGAATAGTCCAGATAGCCTCTCAGTCAGTTCATGTCGTTTACTCTATTGTTGGAGTGCTGACTTTAGGTCATGTATGTCGACGTCGACCACTTGAGCTAATCTCGCGAGAAAAATGAAAAGCTTGTTTACAAAAGTTATTTTTTCAAATTGAAAACTGGCAAATTGTTCTCTATTTTTCTAGAATTTAGAGAATCCACTTAATTCATTCTCCAAATTTGGAGAAATTGAAAAATACACTAGATCCACTCCTTTCAAGGAAAAAAAAAAAAAACTAGATCTACCCTTCAATCCTTGGCACGCAACAACATTTCTAACCATTTTTTTCATAGAGAATTGAAAAAAACTAGGAATTTTTTTTTTTAAATGCTACTGGCTCTATTACAATGTAGTATCTGTTCATATACTTTCTCAACCTACTGAAACGCAAAGAGGCAATAACGCCTCCACTGAGGTTCAAACTCATAATTTTCCAAATGAAAGTCTAACCCGGGTACCATTAGACCACATAGTCCTAGTAAACTAGAAAAAATTTGGATGAATGAAAAACATATATATGAAGTAAACAACCCGGCTTGGGTGCATTTTCATTATGTTTTTCAACCTTGTGGAGAAACCTCGAAGGCTAATAACTGATCAACTCAAACTGAGAAGGTTAATAGGCCGTTCTGGTTGAGAGTTGAACTTGTAATTTTGTAGTTACCAAATCAAAAGTCTAACCAACTTGGATAGAGTTGCCCCTGAAATATATAAAAGCGCAGCACACAGTGACGTTTAAAGCTAACGTTTGTAACACAAATGATATGTAACGCAGTTCGGGCAATCAACCCTAATCTGCGAGGCACTTCTCAATTTGAGAACTTGCCTAAATCCACTAAAAGCTCAATATTTAAAGTACACTGTTAGGAACCTGAGATTACACAATAGAATGATCTTTCCTACCAAACTATTGAAACCTAAACACATGTACTACTTTCTAGGGGAATTTAGTATCATATTCTCAAATACTCTCGTACCTCACAATTAGATCTTGAAAGCTTGAGTTCTACAAGAAAGGACAACCCCTATTTATAGTAGCTATTCCTAACAGATTCGTGAATAATAAAGTTATTCCTAATCAGACTAGAACTAAAAACTTCAATAACAATTCCCTTTAGAACTAGTACTCTTCAATAACTACTCTTAGGCTTGGTATTCCTTTATAGATCCGGAATTCCTTTTGCACATAACTTTGACAAAACACTTTGAGTCAACAATCTCCCCCTTTGTCAAATTTTTGGCAAAAACCTTGATCTCATAGTGGCTTGATTTCCTATTCTTCTCCCCCTTAATTGATTCCACATATCTCTGAGTGCTGTCTTGAATCTTTGTTTATGACTTCATCATTATTTTCTTGTTTTCTTGACAGCCACAAAAAGAAAACTTCGTTGAACATGATCCGGTCGAAGGTGGCTATTAGAGTCTAGATTGAAGGCCAGGATGGACAAAATACACAGCCTTGAGATTTTGCCAAACGGAGGCCGGATTGGAGTCGAAAAGTGAGCGCAGAGCTGAGATTCTGAGGAAAATCTCATTATTCTCTACGTCGGTGTGGAAGTACAGCACCGCGTACGGTCTGTTCTCGAGGTCCGGGAAAATCTTCTCCCGAAGGAAATTATTCACGATTTCAGCAAGGAGAGGCAATTTCTTGGACATCTTGCAACTGTACTTGAGAGGTAGGGACCAGGTCCATGACGATCTTTGAGGGGTCATCATCCTCAATGCGAGCTGGGTTCGAGAAAACACCTGTGTTGGAGAGCTTTGATGTGGAGCCTCTTCTAGGTAATTTTGATCTTTGCCTGATGACGTGTTTTCACCATTGATGTTTCCTTGTGAAGATCTGTGATCTCTGGGGGACGATGATCATGAAGACTACGAGGACCATTTTTTTTTTTTTTAAATTTTCGATTAATAACATCTTGGGCCATGGCATTGGGCCGGATTTGGGTCTGTTTATGAATGACATTTGGAGATAGGGCCCAAGCTCTACACTTCTTTCACATGTGACACATCCCAATTTCAGACCTTAATATTGCATATTTGTTACTGTCTAGTGCCTTATTAATGTTTTTTGCATTCAAACTTAGATATGTGGCAGTAGACTCCTCTAATCTTTGTTCCTTGATTGAGATCTCCTATGATATTTTCCAAAGGATGATTTTTTTGATTTTTTAAGACAGTAGAATGACTTTTATCCTTTTCTTCATTTGGTTCTGTTTCTGTTCTGCAATTCTGCATATCATTAGTCAGGGGTGTTGGAACAGTTGTTTCAACAACTCTTGGACTTTCGTCATCATCAGTGGTTATTGATGGAGTTACATCATCAATGATCACACTGTTTGATGAATAGCCGCTGGATGCTCCTTGGTCATGAAAATTTATGTGTCCCTTACGTTGGTGCCATAATTGTGTTTGACTGATGGTTGTCTGTAAACAAGATAGATCACTATCCCATGTGTAGCATTTGTTTGTGGACCTTTTTCCCATCATGACACACTCGTGATTCTGATTAAACACATTGCAACTGTCTCTAGAGAATTCTACTTTGAGTTCATCTTCACAAAGCTGACTTATGCTGATTAGATTTGCTTTTAGGCTTTGTACTAAAAGGACTTTTGGCAATTTAGGCAGCCCATGGACATTCAAGGTACCATTTGCAATAATTTGTCCTTTTCCACCGTCTCCAAAAGTGACATGCCCTTCGTTTTTGTACTGAATGTTCTCAAGATTTTCTGAATTTCCAGTCATATGCTTTGAACATCCGCTGTCAAAGTACCATATATCTTGCTCTTTGTTTGTTTTGGAAGTATATGCAACATTTTGGTCTTTTCTTACCCAGATTTTCTTACTATTATTTCTGTTATGTGATGGCCATGCTCTGTTGTTTTGCCTGTAGTAAAAGTCATTTTGTCTTTTGTAGCAGTGAGCTTTGATGTGTCCTAGTTTGTGGCAATAGTAGTACCTTATTCTTCTTCGGTGTCGGAAGTGCTGTTGTGACACTTCCTGTGTCTCGGTTTGATGATTCTCACTAGTGTCTGTGCTTGGAGTCCTGGGTCTTTCGGTAAGCTCCTTGATTTCTTGTTGTAGTTTAGCTTCTTTGTTTTTGAAGTCTAATAGTTCGTTTTGAGCTTCTTTGTATTGTTTCTCTATTCGTTCTTTTTCATTCTTCAAATAGTGATTATCTTCCATGAGTTCCAAATTTTTCTTGATGATTTGTTCCCACTTGGCATTTAGTTGAGTGTATGCCTCTAGTAACTCTTGCATGTCAATGCTATTGTTGCTTTCATGACTAGCGGTGAAGGCTACGAAATTTGTGTTGCTGTCATCTTCTTCACTATCTGAGTCATCGCTTAGGGTTGATATATATGTTTTATTTTTCTTTTTCAAGTATGTGGCACATTCTGATTGGATGTGTCCAAAACCTTTGCATTCATAGCACTGTATTCCTTCTGTATTTGAACTGTCTCTTCTTTTTTAGACAGAATGATTTTGTCCAGTTGAGAAGTCCCCTTGATTGATTGAAGCACTTTTGTTTCTAAATTTGTTGAATTGTTTGAGAACTCTGTTGAAATTCTTTGTTAGGAGAGCGATTGATTGTTCTATGGTTTCAGTATCAATTTTTGGACTTCCTTTCTGCTTTGATTGGAACGCAATTCCTTTGTCATTATTTTTCCCTTTTTGCAGTATCTCAAGCTCATATGTTTGAAGATTTCCCATTAGATCACTCAGTTTGTAGGAGTTTAGATCTTTGTTTTCTTGAATAGCGGTGACTTTCATTTGGAATCTTCCGGGTAGTGAGCGTAGTACCTTTTTGACGATCCTATGTTCGGGTATAGGTTCGCCTAAGTTGAATGCATCTCCGGATATACTTAAAACTCTGGCACTGAATTGGGTGATGCTTTCTTCCTCTTCCATTTTCAGGTTTTCAAATTCAGTTTG